TGAGCTGCTTCGAAAACCACAAGCGCACTCTGACGATTAAGCTGGCGAAGAAGGCGGAGGAGGAGGAGGACGACGACTGGACGGTGTTTGCCGGAAAGCCAGAGCAGCAGAAGAAGAAGGAGAAGAAGAAGATCGTTTTGGCGGCGAGCAGCACCTACGAGGCGCACCTCATTTACCTGCTGATCACGGCGTACCACGGAGAGCACCGCCGTCGAGTGTGGCGCAGCGAGTTCAATGGCGGCGGAGGCGGCAATGGTGCTGGCAATGGTAATGGCTTACAGATGGAGGGCATCACCACGGAGGCTCGCTTCGTTTTGCCGCAGCCGGAGAACTTCTTNGATGAAGATGGCAATGAAGAGGAAGAGGAGGTATCACAGCAGCCTGTTGATGAAACGTCCTCATCCTCCTCCTCAATTTCTCTGTACAAAGACATCGAGGGGATGGGAAACGTAGTCCTGGTGCAAAAGGCGAATGCTGCTGAAGAAGTTTCTGCTGAGCTGCTCGGCATCTTGCCAAACGCCAAATCTTCAGGAGCTCCTATTTCTATGGCAGAAGAGGAGGAGGAGGAGGTGGATGAGGTGAACGCCTTGCTGGCCTTGGCTCCCAGCAACAACAAAAGCAACAAAAGCAGCGGCAACAACAGCGAGTCCAGCGAGTCTGGCGACGATCTGCTCTCCGCAGATGACATGCTGTCCGCCGATAAGGCGCACCTGCTCAACTTTCCCAAGCTGACCTTCAAAGTGAAGACTTTGGGCAACAAAAAGGCTGCTGCTGCTGAAGAAGGTGATGCTTTGCAGGTTAAGGCTGAGAAGATCGGTGGAGCTTCAGAAGAAGAGTTCGAAGGTGACGAAGACGAGGAAGACGAGACCGCGATCACCGCCGAGTCCGCGGAGGAGCTGGAGTCGGGCCCGAGCTCGAGCTCCTGCTCGGCGCTGATCACCTCGTACACTACCTCCTCTACAACTTCCACCACCACCACCTCCACCGCTTGATTACTTTTTCCTTTGGTGGGCTTTGGAGTTCTTTGCTCTCACTCCAGATATTCAGCTTTTGTTGTTTTGTTTTGTTTACACACCACAGCAATCTTCAATTTCCAACTTTGTGGCCATGTGTGCAATGTGCTCTGCAGCCATATTTTCATTCTTCAATGTCTTCAGCCATATTTAAAATGCCGCCGCCGCTTGCGGCGTAGTTTAATCTTTTTAAAAATGTGAAACAGTTTAAAAGTTTTTGTAAAGAGAAAAAAGGTAAAGGTGAAGTTGGTTGTTGGAGGTCGTGGTAACCACAGCAGTCCTCCCACCGAGACTACTACGAGTCATCACCCTCAACATTGTCAACATTCCACATCACCCCCGGTCATCATCACCCGAAGAGAATGGCGATGATGACGGCGTGAATGACGCCCGGGAGGAAGCCGAGCAACGTAAGGACGATATTGATCAGCAGCGTAAGACCGCAACCGCTGGTGATGAAGACGGCTAGCGGCGGTAGCAGCAGCGAAAGGAGGACCATCAGCATCTTCCACAGACAGGTGGTGAACAGTTTGCACATCTCGGTTGGCTCTTGTCTTGTTTCAGATGAAGAAAAGTTGTTGGATGGCAATGTTGCACAACGAGAAAAAGCGTGAAACGATAGTGGGAAGAGATAACAGTGTTGTGAACTCCAAACGAAAGTGTGTAGAGGCGTCATCACACTCAGGTGGTAAAAGGAACTTCAACAGGTAGAACAATGCCGTTCTGCAACTGCTGCTGACGAGAGTTTGTGGGTAAGCGCTATGATGAAGCTTCTTTTGGTATAATAACAACAACTAAAAAGATTTTGTAAAAGTAAAAGCTATGCTGCAAAGCAAAGAGTGCTCGAGCGAGCGAGCGAGCCTGTGGTTTAGGAGATTGAGATTGAGGGGCGTTGCTGCCGTTGCCTGGCATCTTCAAGCGGTCAAGAGGCAAACACCTCCTCATCCTCTTTTCGACAGCACCAACCACATGG